GGTCCTGACCCAACTGTACAGCGCCTTGGGACGTCCTCCCGACGTGAAAGGCGCTCAATAAATGGAATCTTGTTGTTGTTGTTGTTGAAGGGTTACCATGTGTGAATGAATGATAAGAGTGGGTTTGGATTCAGGGATCAAATGGGCTCCTAAGTTGTTGATATTCATTCAGTAATCTATTAAAACGTTTTATTATGTACTTTTTATGTTCATATAGGCAAAGGATGTCAACAATAAGGAATTGAATATTTAGTCATTTTAGAAACCCAATATCAGGATTAAACACAAACAGGAGCCAGTTAGCTACAATCCAGACTCACATATGTAGAACAGAATAGTTACTGAGGCACATGCGCAGGAAATTGCATCAGTGTTAATCCAACAAGTCAGATGTTGGCCAATTTTTTTGGGTGTGCGAAGCCAGCAAATATTTTGAAAAAAGCTGGCAGATAAGACAGTAGATACGCAGTGGGAAACTTTAAAAGCCAAGATAAACAGAGTAAAAAATAGACATATACCACCAATTAATAAAGCCGTATTGCCTTGGATGAATAGACAAATTAAAATGAAAATAAAAGGTGCACAATAAATGTAAAGATAGCAATCTGAAAGAAAATCAGGGAGCATACAGAAAATATAGATGGGAATTAAAAAAGGAGATTCAAAAGACCAAGGGGATATATGAGGAAAGACAAGGAGGAAACATAAAGAAAAATAGTAAAGGACTTTATAAACACATAAAAAGTAAAAGAATAGTTAAAGAAAAAGGCCAATTAGAAACAAAGAGGGAAATCAGGGAACAGAAAATGAATGTATGGCCAGAGATACTTAATGAGTATTCCACCTCAATTTTTTACAGAAGAGAGCGACAGTGAGTATATATGAGGTGGATGTGCAGCATTTAGAAGGGAAACGATAGAAAGGAAGTGTTATAATCCTTGTATTTGATATAGCGTTTTATCAGGTCTTCGAGACGTCCCAAAGCGCTTCACAGAATATACTGTAAGGTGAATTGATTGTATATTTTGTAGGCAAAACCTGGCAGCTAATTGCACAGCAGTGTCCCACAAACATTTTGGATTGAATTTTTTGTTAAGCTAATGTAACAACTTAGTTTAAAAAGAGGGAATGGGATCAACCGAGTAATTATAGACCAGTCAGTCTAATATCCATAATAGGCAAATGTTTAGAAGCTATTATATGAGACAATATTGATAACTTGGAAAGACTTGGGTTGATTCAAGACAGTTAGCACGGATTTGTTAAAATCAAATCTTGCCTGTCCAATAGTTTTTTGATGAGGGAACCAAGAAAACGGATGAAGGTAACACTATGGATGTGGTACATATGGATTTTTCTGAAGACTTTTCATAAGGTGCCACATAGGAGGCTTGTTAAAAAAAATCAGAGCACTTAGCATTACAGTATATTCTGTGAAGCACTTTGAGACATCTAGAAAACGTGAAAAGCGCTATATCAAATGCAAGGATTATTATTATTATTAATAACAATGGTAAGATACCAACATGGATAGATAGTTGGTTAAAGGATAGGAAGCGGAGAATGGGAGTACAGGGTAGTTGTTTGCATTGCAGAGATGTAAATAGTGATGTCCCTCAAGGGTCAGTGTTAGGACCACTGCTTTTCTCCATTCATATAAATGATATGTTTTTTCATATAAGCGACACAATCTCTGTTTTCAGGTGACACAAAAATAGGGAATGTAGCTAAGAGTGAAGAAGACTGTAAGCAACTTCACGTGGACATAGAAGATTACTTGATTGGGTAGAGAAATGGCAAATGAAATTTAATGTGGATAATTGTGAACATTTTGGGAGGAAGAATAAGGAGAACAACTATACTTTGGGTTGTAAAATATTAAAAGGAGCAAAAACTTAGGAGGTCAAGGTACATAAATCCTTGAAGATGAGAAGGCAGGTGACAAAGTTGTCAAAAAAGCTAATGAAATCTTAGGTTTTATAGCAAGGGGTATAGAATATAAAGGCAAAGAGGCTATGCTAAACCTATATAAATCCTCAGTTGGACCACCAATAGAATATTGTGTCCAGTGAAGATAACAACAACAACAAAATTACATTTGTAAAGCGCCTTTCACGTTGGGAGGACATCCCGAGGCGCTGGACAAAGTTTTGGACCCAAGCTGGGGGTCGGGATCGGGGAGGGTGGAGGGCAGGGGAGAAAGCAGGGTGTTCGAAAGCACGTTAATATCCAGAAAGTAGAAAATTAGAGTCCCATCTGGTGTAATGGTTAGCACTTTCGCCTTGCAAACGAGAAGACACGGGTTCACTTCCTGGGCACGGAAAAACCACAGGCAAGTTTCCTTACTCCACACACCGCTGTTTGCCTTGCAGTAAAGTAGGAAACTGATTGTTAGTCGATTCGCAGATCGCTCTCTAGGAGAAATAATCCCTCAAAAAAAAGTGGTCACTCAATCCACAACCATTTGTGGGACACTGCTGTGCTCAACTGGCTGCCACGGTTTGCCCCAAAATACAGTCAATTCACTTTAATATATAGTCTGTGAAGTGCTTTGAGATATCTCAATGACGCGATAAGATGCAATATCAAATGCAAGGATTATTATTATGTTATAAATTAAATGGATAAGGAACTGCCTCATCATCTGATACATCATTTGGAACATCCTATGCAGATCAAAAGCGAGATTACAGTATAGTATATAAACAAACACGTGCCATTAAAAGCAGCATACCTCAAATGGATCAGATGACACAGTACTTTTTTCTTTGCTTCCAAATTTTCCGTATTGTGATGCGTTCCTTCATTTTCTTCTACAGGCACGAGAAAGATCCTGTGACGCAAAAATGTCATGTGGTTTGGTGGCATGTCACTGAAGTCATAAGTCACTAGAAACATTTTCACCACGGTTTTGTTTGGGTTGAATAAGGTCTGTAATTGAATAGCAAATTGGTTATGTACATTACATAAAAAGACATGCACACACACAAAATCAAGTTAATGGTTAAAAACTATCCCCCTGAAAACACAGAAATCTGGAAATTCCTTCATTAACACGAGAACAAACTGCATCCAGATATTTTTCACATTGTGAGGACATTCAAAAACGCTCCACAGGATTTAATATTAAACTGTAATGACTGTGTATTTTATAGACGAATGGAGCAGCCAATTTGTGTATAGAGCTCTCTTTTTGATTTGTAGAATCTTCAACATCCAAACTGAACAGGGAGGGAGGACTTGGGTTAATGTCTCATCCAAACGACTGCATCCAGCATTACACTGGAGGGTCAGCCTAGACTGAGTTCAAAGTCCCGGTCAAAGACCTTCTGACTTGGAGGTGAGAACGCAAACGACTAAGCCAGGCTGACACCAATCTACTCTTCAAAACAAAACAGCTCAAAGTAGCAATTGGTGTTGGGCCAAGAATCGTATTGAGCATTTAAACCAAAACTCTTCTATTTTTGGGATTGCATCAAAGATATGAAACTAGTAAAGAACTAGCTCCAAGGCAGGCAAGATTGGTTATGGTCTTGGCAGCACTGCAGCTCAATCAGGAAGGTTTACATTGGAGAATTGAAATATAATACTTGCTGTAGAGCAGCACAACGTCTCTAGTGTAAACAACGATTGGTTTGACAGGGGTGGAAGGAAAGAGTCCAAAAAATAATCCATTAAATAGTTCCAGAAAGTCTGTGGAGATCCTGTGCATCTTTCAAAACAGACATTTATCACATAGCATTGGTTTAAAAATGAGTCTATAGTAGCAAATAGCTCAAGGAAGTATTCCATAATCCAGTGTATTTTATGCATTAACTGGAACCAACTTCCCTTGCCAATTCAGGTAGCTTGAAATTTACAATGTTGCCTTTTTTCATTGGCGAAATCCTTTAAAGAGGGACGACAATAATGGTGCAGAATTAATTAGTCCCATCACCATTAATACCTTGTAAGATATTTCTATGCCTTAATAAAGTGCAAGCACCAAGAGGTTTTACACGGCTTTTAGAGAAGTGGAACTGGCAACTAGCTATAAAGTACACTTAAGACTTAAACATTTTCTTTTTCTTTTTCATAACCAAAATAATAATTATGAAAACCCCTAACAAGAAAACAAAAGTGAAAACACCATTCCAGGCCTAGATTCGTTAATGATAACCATATTCTCTCTTCTCCCATCCAACTTTCTCCACATCTCCCCTGAAGGTGTTGACCGGTCAGATACAGTGGCAAGTACGGGAGCTCTCTAGTACTTTGCCAAAATGACCGTTGAACAATGAATTTAGAGGGGTTCACATCCGGGGCTGGGGTTGGCACTTTTCAGTCAGGGTTCATTGATAATGATCAAGTACAGTAACCTTAACTGCTGGTTTTGTCCTCTTCAGCTCAGGGGTACTAATGTTAATTACAGTCTGTCTTAACTTGGCTGAATTCAGTTACCTCAGGAGGGATTAAAGCTGGAACCTGCCCAATTTGTATTGGCTCTGTACCAAATGGAGAAGTGCATTGAGGCATTGGAGAGGCTTTTGCTCCAGATGTGACGTTTTAGTTATTCAATTGTCTTGACCATAAAGGATATTTTAAAAGATAAACCATATGTGGGAAGTGGGATGAACGGGTGGGGGGGGAAGAAGAAGCATTTCTGCAAGAAGGTTTTTTTTAAAAAAACAATCATCCCAAAGAAGAAATTATTTCTTCACTATAAACGCAACTTACTAGCGACGTCCAAGTCATTTCCTGGCTAGAAATTAAAGCCGCCCCACTGATTTATTTGACAAGTTAATCTCCCCCCCCCCACCCCTGCCCCGAACCTCGCCCCCATTAACCTGTGCAGGCATTAGCCAGTATCTTTGCCAATTTTGGCACTAAAATCAAACTAAAAATTGGCTACTTGCTGGAACTCCAGCAAAACATCTTCTCTCAGGTGGGAAATTAAATATATGGTCTCTTTCTCTCTCTCTTTCTCTGGGAGACTCATTCCTTTTGAGAATGAAATTTGGGATCACAAGAGTCACATACAAAGATGATTGCTATCAAGGTATTTACTGTGTAATGAAACATTTAAACCATACAATAGATAAATGCAATAAACCATACAATAAATAACTAGATGCAATTTTCCCTATCCCACTTGGTATATGTGAAAAGATTGTTAAGTAAGAACATATATGGAAAATAAAACCGATTCATAGAATTGTTATCGGAACCAATGCTTTTCAATTCCATTCAAGAATTCAAATTTTAATGGGAATTTTTATCACCTATGCAAAATTTCTAAAATAAAGGACATACTCTGTTAATGTGATAATTTAATGTAACAATCTATCTTTGGAAAATTATTTGGCATATATCACAGATCATACTTGTTGAGGATTTTAGAACTAATGCTAGAACTTGAAACAGATGTGATACAAAAACACTACGTATATTTGTTTTTACATTTGGTAAAGACAACATGTTCTTCTTAGCCACTTCTCCAATTCGGTCATGCTATGTTACATACAATTCCCAGACAATAAGGTATGTCGGTAATCTGTTCTGGTGCTTTTGACCACACCACACGGATATAGTTTGTGTTATAGTCACCTTTGTGTCTTTTCTCTGTAGTGAGCACCTGACGGCTGCTTGGCCATTCCCTCACAATGACTAAAGGAAGGAATACGAGTTTATACCTGCACGACACTCCGTGACACTTTCATTTGTAGACCAAAGAAAGCATCATCGATCAATCAATCTTTCACCACCAAGGGCAGCAAGTGAGAAAAATAGCCGCTTTCCAAATCATCAGACTACTGCCTTTCTTACCACAATGTGCAGTAAGCATTGCTAAAGTTACTTCCCTATCTGTGCATTTGCTCTATGCACCAGGAGTGCAGCTGATATCACTTAAGCGCTCTGAGACGCTACCCTGCAGGGAGGGCGCTATATAAGTGCAAGTTATTGTTGTTGCTGTTCCTTCATGAAGCACCATTAGCAGTCAGCTAACAACCTGAAAATCATCCATTTTTTGAGCATGGGAAGATGGCTGATTCGGACTTCTAGTCCCAGCTCACAGTAGTCCTGTGCTCCAACTAAATCCATGCTCTACTACTGTGTGTGTGTGTGTGTTTATGTTTGTGTGTGGTGTGTGTGTGTGTTGGGGGGGGCGGTGAGGGTCATTCTAAAAGGTTGAAACCATGTATTAAAAATGGGGCACTCTTGCTGGGACAACTGGTGTAAAGTGTATCAGCAAACGGCAAGAACCCAAACATTTGGGCTGGTCAGGAGATGTCATGCTTACACGTATAGTATGTGGAGCTGAATGGGGATGGGGGGAGGGGAGGGAAGAAGAGTGCAGAAGGTCAGAGTTGCGTATAAACCAGATCAGGTAAATAATAATCATGAACTTACAATATACACAGTCACTACACTTAACAGTAAATCTCATGATGGTATCTGAGGTGTCCTCCTGATGTGAAACACTCTTTATCAAATGCAAGAATTGATCATTGTAATGTACATACATACAGGCAGAAATGAGGCTAATAAAGAGCAGTCCAATTTATAATTTAAGAAAAATTCATAGAAATTATAGCACAGATGGAGGCCACTTGGTGCATCGAGTCTGTGCTGGTGAAACTTCACTTTTAAAATTCAGGCTGTTAACATTTCAGGAAATATTTAAGGAAAACTATCATGCGCTTAGACTGAAAAACAAACAAAAAATTAAATCTGAACATGTGTATGTTTTGTAATTATCCTTAGAATAAAAGGTGTAGTTATGACCCAAACACACTCACCACTTGGATGGTTCCTGCTTTGGGGATGTTGTAACCCTTCTTTCCCAACGATTCCAGATTTATCACACCCTAAATTGGAAAATAAAAAGGACAGCAAAGTTCAATAATAATAATAATCCTTGCATTTGATCTAGTGCTTTTCACGTCTTCTAGACTTCTCAAAATGCTTCACAGAATATACTGTAAAGTGAATTGACTGTATATTTGTGGGTGAAACGCGGCAGCCAATTGCGCACAGCAGTGTCCCACAAACAGTTGTGGATTGAGTGACCAAATTGTTATTGCTTTTTTTTCTTGAGGGGTTATTATCAGGTGTGTGGAGTAAGGAAATTTGCCCAAGGTTTCACCCTGCTGGGAACTGAACCCGGGTCTCTCATTGAAACGTCTCAAAGCACTTCACAGGATTTTATTGTAGTGTAGTGTGTATTTGTAGGGAAATGCAGCAGCCAATTTGTGCACGGCAATGCCCCACAAACAGCAATGAAGTGAGTGACCAATTTTATTTGGGGGATTGTTTGGCTAGGGCACCAGATAAAATTCTCTCCCTTGGGACATCCTCCCGACATGAAAGCCTCTACATAAACGTAATTTTTTTGTTGTCAACAAGAATTACACTGATCAGCAAACAGGTAATTATTCTTTTCAAAGTGCCAATATGAATTTAAACGTATCAAAGGGTTTCTTCTTTCCCAAGTACACAATATAGTGATGAAAACGCCACAATCAGTCATGAAAAGTGTCTCATTGGCCAAAATATCCAGTCCTTCCTATTAAGATTCTTATATCTCACACAGGCTGGTACATCACATGGTTGTAAATTCCAATCCACACCTGTGTTTACCTCTTGGACTTGAATCAATTATTATACAATTATACCAGCGCCTTGGGACATCTTCCCGACATGAAAGACGCTATACAAATATAATTTTGTATTGTACAATTAGCTAGCCAAACACTGCAAGAGGTGAAATTCAGCACCAGTTTCTTTGGCGCATTGAAAGAAATGGCGCATAATATTCACCATCAAGTTAAAACAATTTTAAAAATTAAAGTCCTGAGGTTGCCGAGGACAGTTCCAGATTTGCTAACAATCCTATAACATCAGGAACGCATTAACATTTGATAACATTCACAAGACACAGGAGACAGAACATTTCCAGAAGCAATATTTCTTAAAAACTAAATAATTTTCTGTAATGTTTGGTTAAAATTTGAATCATTTCATGTTGATAAGGAGACAGGATTATGTCCATCATGTAGATATTTGGTTGAATAAATTACAAGGTTTAAGTCCAAGTATCACAAATATTCTGTGAAGCGTCTTGTCGACGTGATAAGGCACTTTATCAAATGCATGGATTATTATTATTACAAATGTATGATCAAACAATGGGATAATGTCAGTTCTGCACACTAACGCAAACCAGAAAATTCCAAAATTGGAGTAAACAGGAGGTTCAAGAAAAGTACAACTTTGGAGTTCATTAAAAATAAAGCAAGCATGTGATCTTTAAAAAGTGCAAAGAATAATTGTGATAATAAAATGAAGAATGCAAATTCCTTCAGGGAATGTTAGCTGTGTTTGGCTTCTACAGACATCATGACATTGCCATTGCTGTTGAAAGCAGCACGGGCTATTGCTAAATATACCCCAATAGTTATTGGCTGTGCTTTCAACAAAAGGAAACTGTACCTCAGTATATGCGATACATTAATATCTACCATAATGCATTATCCTTAAAAGAGAGATTTATGCATGAATTCGCACAAGAAACTCAATATACATGACAACATTCAGTTTTTTTCAAAAAAAAGTTTAAATAAATAGCTAAAGGCAATTATATTATACATTATATTCTGGGTATGCTACACGCTCACACACTTGGCAACGGAATGACAGAATCAAGCCAAGCCTTGATGATGATCTCAGTAGTCTGGTTCCTGAGAAAGGCACGTCTGCAGTACTCCAAGGCACAGCTGAAGACAGAGCAGCCAGTCTTGTGACATACATAGGTGGAACTCAGTCTGGTTTGCATACTCTTAAGCATGGTGATGGATCTCAGCAAGTTTCAGACACCTGGCTGACCAAACTGACGAAACCAGTTTACCAAACTTTAGGGAGAATTTAGGATCAAATTGGCAAGAGCAAAGTTCAGGGGCAGCACGGTACACTGAGGAGGTTACCCAACTAAAACTGCTGAGAGTACCATTATGGTAATCTACCTGCAGCATTTGCAGTTAATGCCACCCTACCTAAACAAGGCTTTGGCTTGCAGAGTTATCACGAGATAAGGGGAAGGATTCCCAGCCCCCAATGACTTGACAGTTCCTCAAATATCTGGAAACAAACCAGGTTAACTGGTCCATCATAAACAGTGCCCTGTGGTGTCCTGCAGAGACTCCCATTGAGGATTAACTCGATTCAGATCTTCCATTGACAGGCAGGTCACCTTGGAACTAACTCAACTTCAAAGAGACACAACTGAACAAGCCCCACACCCACCGCCCCCAAGGAGGAGTCACCAGTTGGTGATGGATTATAAACAGTGGGGTTTAAAATGCAATAGATTTTTGCATGAATTCACACAAGAAACTCAATGTACATGACAACATTTAGTTTGTCCACCCCAACACATTTCAATTGAGATCTCATCCCTGGAGTTTCCAGCAGCTGGTGTGAATGACATTTGGTTACCAGTAGGATTCAATATGTACGAATATGAATTGCGAATTTAATATCTTATGTTTACTCCAATTTTCATGTTTTTCCTCTTACCAGGAACGGTGATGGCGCACTGTGCTCTGAAATGTTATAATAAGACACGTCCACAGGTAATGTCACATGCTGCGGGCAGTATGATCCACTCGCTCCCAGTTCCGCTGTAAAACCTTCAATTCTTCCCGATGGTGCAAATCTTCCTTTTAGCAGCGACTCCTAGAACCAAATAAATGTCTCAAGTGAAATGTAAATTACAGTACAGTGTGCATATCAAAAAGGATGCATTTCATTCTTGTAGGTTACTGATCCAGATTCTCTACCCCTCCACCCTATTCCTGCACCTTTGCAAATTGCCTTTCATTTGAATGGTGTGAATTTATAACATTGTAAAAGTTAAGTTGAAGTTTTTTTTTAGAAATCAACAACTGGTTTGTTAGTTTTGATCAAACGCATGTTGATCATCACAGCACGACTGATGCATAGTTACAAGATCTATCATGCTGATATAATAGAAGTTTACCTCAAAGTTGCCAAGCAAAGAACGGCTAACAGAAGGAGAGGCGCTGGAACTTGACGAAAACTTGCTGGATTCTCCCCCAAATGCACTGCATAGAGATCTCCTGAAGATATAAAATAGATCACATCAAGTTGCATTTTACGTTTTAAACTTAGCAAATATTCCTTTGTGGGGCTTCCCTCATTGACAGTGAATGCTGGGAAGGCAGTACTGCAATGTAAGACGATGTTTATTTGACCCACTATCTGGCTCAGAGCTAAATAAGTCAAATAAAAAGTTTCAGCCTCTGTTACGGTTTGCTTTTCAATGTACGGTTACCTAAACAGTAAATACAGAAATAAACTAACAATTTAGAATTAGTTAAACCAAGAGCTGAAGGGAAAGATACTTGGCACAAGACAACCCCTGATAACTCAGTCCTCTGCGTCCATTAGGTCAAAGTCAGTCAACTTCATATTGTCAGATTGATTCTGACATCACTTTGCGTGTGAAGGTTACAACTGTGTTCCCTTAAAGTTTACGATAGACACTTTTCCAACCAGGCAATGATTTCTGAATTGGTTAAATCTAAAGACCTAATGATGCACAGTATACTTAATAAATGTTGTCCTCCACACAATAAGTCAGCAAAACCAACATAAGGATGATCCCTATTGAACCATTTTAACCAGACTATGAGACATTGGCACCATTTCTGTTGCTTGGAACTGCATTTGACACTACCTTTAAAGATTTTCCAGAGGTTTCACACTAAGTGAGATCATCCCTATCCTGGAACCAAAACATTTTCCATTGAAAATCCTTCACCCAGCAGCTCTCCTTTGATCATACTGATGTCAATTATCTGTAGTGGTGCCTCCTGGTTATTTGGCTTCTCTTTCTCATCAACAAACCGTTGAGCAAATGTTATGAAGGATTTTTTGGGGAGAACGTAGTATAGCAGATGTTGGAGACACAACTCCAAAGAAGATCGGTTTCAGGGTCAGACATAGATTGAGGAATTTTCTGCACAGAAGAGGGCAATAAGCCCATCGTGTCTGTGTCACTGCTAAATCAATTTTATATTTGCCCCACTTGCTTATGGAACTAAAATATTAACTAAGGTTTCCTTCTAAGATGCTAATTTGATTTTCTGAGCACTTCCAATAATACATGTTTATATTCCAGAGCTACAGAATTACTGTTTTTTCCTCCCGGTTCAATTTCTTTCATCTTTCTGCCCCAGAAACTGAGGATGGGGTGAGTGTATGAGCAAAATCCTGGAGCAATCATGGTACAGGATTCTCTATTCCTGGAGCAGAAGATCTTCATTTGAGCGTTTGTTTGTGGCAACGGAATTGACCTTTAGTAACCTTTTTTTTTTTGTCGGTGGTCACTTATTCGAGGGCAGTCAAATAAAACATTTCCACTGACACTATCTGATAGCAGTGGCAATATCTGAGAAATCAGTAGGTCAAATGTTAAGCGGCCAGCTCTAATAACGTTTGTGCCATCTGTCTTGCACAGTCACGCCGTACATTAGAGTGCCAATTATCTGTGTCAGAGAGCAGTAGGTCTTGCTTCATGCGAATGATTCCCATATTGTGCGTTATTGACCCGAGTTGCATTATCACAGGAAGGGATAGAAACTATGCCAAGTCCTAGCAAGTGAAAGAATACATTTGAAGGGCATTAGCCTGGGTGGCTCATTTCAGTCGATTGAGGCATGTCTCAAAAAGGTACCTCTTTGATTGTGCTGTTGGTGCCATTTCCCCTTCCAATCAGCACTGTGAAGCACTTTGAGACACCCTTATGACACGAAAGGCACAATGTAAATTAAAATTCTCATATTAGTTAGCAGAACTGTAGAATTGGACGACACTCAAGTTTTAACAAAGATAGCTTAACAAGATATGCTGAAGACAGGTAAACGAAGTTCAATACAGATATATGCAAGAAGCTCCATTTAAGAGGTAAAAATAGGAGGCACATATACTTCACAGACAGGGAATAAAGTGGAAATGAAGAGGTTTAGTTGACGGATCATGTCAACAGGATGCTGGGCAAAACTGCCAAATCAATTGAGTTCAAATCCTTAGAAGTCATGCTCTGGTTAGACTCCACTAAGAGAATAGCACACAGTTTTGGTCACTGCAACATAAGAGGACTGACAGGCCCCAAAGGCAGAGCAGAGGAAAGTTAACAAGGATAATCTGCATTAACAGAGGGATGACCTATGAGAATGGATAAATTGGGTACCCCATTTCAACCTTGAAGAGACGTCCCAGAGTGAACTATAGGAAATATAAGATGCTAACTGAGTGTGAGAAAGTGAAACCAGACCAATACTTTTGAGATACGCAAGGGAATTGAACATAATAGCACAGGTTCAAGGTTGAGAAGGGTAATTTTAGGACAGATACCAGAAACTATTTATTTACACAGCATAAGTAACATCTAGAACAGATCGCCAAGATGGTTGGGTTTTCATTCTGGAAGAATGAAATCAAGGGAGCTGAAGGACAATCAAAGTTATTGGACAAACGACCCAACAGTCATGGGTTTCAATTCCCCTAAGACATTTGCTTAATTTATTTTAGAAAATTTGAAGATAATCTGAGCGAGAAAAATAGTCATAAACCTGCTAGATGATTGTATTAACACAACTGGTTCACTCATGTCCTTTAGGGAAAGAAATATGCCTTTCACCTGATCTGACCTACACACAACTCCAGTCCCACAATATGTGATTCTTTAACACCCTCTGAAATGGCCTGGCAAGTCATTTGGTTATAAGAAAACATTACAGAAGTACTTCTTTGGGCAAATACGAATGAGATCATCTTTAGATTGCTCACAATCTCTCCTAAAGAAAAATCTGTTTCACTATGTAATATTTTTATTTAAGAACTCAAGTTTCACGTAAGAAGAGAGCTTGTGTTCCATTTATCAGACAAATTCCACTTAAACATTAAATAAGGAATAAGCTACAAGGAAGGGATTTCATGGATTTTTAAAAAAAAGGAATATCAAATTTATGTTCACAACTGCTTTGAAGGACAAGATAGAACTGATTATATAAACAGTTAATTTGTTTAAAATTAACTTATTTTGACAGTAATAGCAGATTGTGCTGGCAGCACGATTAGTTTTTACAACAACAAGATTACATTTGTATAGCGCTTTTCACATCAGGAGGACATCCCAAGGTGCTGGACAGTGTACAGCATTTCAGACCTGAGCTGGGGTTGGGAGGGGGGAAGGGAGGGGAGGGGAAGGGGGGTGGCTGATGGCATGGTCGAAGAGGAGGGTCTTGAGGCGGGACTTGAAGGAGGCTAAGGAGGGGGCAAGGCGGAGTGACCCGGGGGATGGAATTCCAGAGATTGGGGGCAGAGTGGCTGAAGGCTCTCCCACCAACGATGGGGTGGGTGGGTCGGGGGATGTGGAGCAGGCCAGAGCCGGCTGAGTGGAGGGAGTGGGTGGGTTGATAGGGAGTTAGGAGGTCACAGAGGTAGGGTGGGGTGAGGCCATGGAGGGCTTTGTATGTGAAGACCAGGATATTAAACTGGATCCTCTGAAGGATAGGAAGCCAGTGGAGTTGGGCGAGAGTGGGGGAGATGGGGTCACGGAGTTTGGTGCGGGAGAGGACACGGGCTGCAGAGCTCTGGATTATCTGCAGCCTGTGGAGGGGGGAGTTGGGAAGGCCGACAAGCAGCGCGTTTGCATAGTCGAGTCTGGAGGTGATGAAGGCATGAACAAGAGTTTCAGCGGCCTGAGGGGTGAGGTAGTGGTGAAGTCAGGTGATGTTACGGAGGTGAGGGAAGGTAAAGCGGGTCATTTCTTGAATGTGGGGGAGAAAAGACAGTTGAGGGTCGAACAGGACACCTTGGTTCCTGACTGGCTTGGTGAGCTGTAGTGTGCAACATGGAGGTTGATGCTGCCAGAGCCTGAGGTGCAGAGGCGCTGGCACAAGCCAATCAGGAGGGCCTCAGTCTTGTTCACATTCAACTGTAGGAAATTTGCTCTCATCCAGGATTTGATGTCCAACAGGCAGTCTGTCAGGACAGCAGTGGTCCTGGAGTTGAGGGTGGAGGCAGAAAGATAGAGTTGGGTGTCATCCACATACAAGAGGGAATGGCGAGAGAGAAAGGAGCGGAGCTGGGACGCGACGACTCGTTCCAGGACCTTGGAGAGGAATGGGAGGTTAGAGATGGGGCGGTAGATGGAGAGGAGGGATGGATCCAGGGAAGGTTTTTTCAAGATGGGGGTGATGACGGTTGTTTTTAGGGGTGTGGGAACTGAACCAGTGGACAAAGAGAGGTTGATGACATTGGACAGGAGAGGGGCCAGAAGGTGGAGCTGGGAGATGAAGAGAGAGGTGGGGATGGGATCGAGGGAGCAGGTGGTGGGTTTGAGTTTGCGGACATTTGTGGTGAGGGAGGAGGGAGAGTTAGGATCGAAGGAATGTAGGGGGGATGGGTGGGGGGTGGGTCATGAGGGAGACGTGATGTGGGGATGGTTGTGGATGGGGCTGAGGTGGCTGAACGTATCCCCTCGATTTTAGATTCGAGGAAGTCCAGCATCTCCTCACAGTTGGGAGCTTGAGGAGAGGATGGGCGAGGCGTGGGAAGGTGGACGGAGGAGACGATTAGTGGTGGAAAAGAGAACCCTGGGGTTGTCCTTTGCTTCCAAGATAACCTTGGAGTAGAAGGAGGATTTGGCGGAGACAAGAGCGCATTGGTATATCTTGGTGAAGCCAAATCTGCTGATGGACTGTTAGTTTGGATTTGGTCCAGGAGTGTTCGGCAGCTCGTACTTGTGCCTTGAGGGAAAGGAGATGGCTGGTGTACCAGGGGGATTTATGGGAGTATGAGGCAGTTTGGGAGGTGATGGGGGCAAGTGAGTCCAGAATGGAGGAGAGGGAGTTGTAGAGAAAGGAGAATGAGGAGGGAAGATCGGTCAGTGAGGGCCAGAGGTGTAGGAATTCAGATGACTCCAGGATAATGGAGAGGGAAGACATTTTTTTCCATGGACGGTATGTAATGGTGGAGGGTTGGGAAAGGGGAAGGGGTACTGAGGTGTTGAGGGAGATGAAGTGGTGGTCTGAGATGGCTTTATCGACAATGGTGATGTCCGAGATGGTTAGGCCCCGGGTGATCACCAAGTCAAGGGGGTGGCCACGGTCGTGAGTGAGGGAGTGGATGAGGAGGGAGAGGTTGAGGGAAAAGAGGACTGGAGGAGAAGTCGGCAGAGGTAGAGCAGGAGGGGGTGAAGTGGAGGTTGAAGTCACCTAAGATAAGGAGGCGTTCAGAGTAGAGGGAGAGGGAAGATAGGAGAGTGGAGATGTCCGAGAGGAAGGTGGGGGAAGGCTTGGGGGGATGGTATTTATGCCACATTGTAAATCAATTTATTTATCTAAGTTTCTGGTAATATCAGTCTTCTTGCAAAGTAACATGCCAACCAACCATGTAAAATCCAGCACACTGTAAAACTACTACATAGTTAACTACTGGGGATGTACTCAAAGATAAGCGGATAGGCAGAAGTGCAGCTTGCACAATTGCAGAAAACAAAGACATCACTTGCACAATTCTAGTCAGTATGTTTCAAGAAGTGATAATAGGGTAGCATGACGGGGAGGGGAGGGACAACTTGCAGGAACTTTATGTGGCAAGGAGGTTACTTTAAGCGATAACACAGAAAAACATGAAAGCTGCAACAGGGGTCTAAGTACATTCTGCTTCCTGGGACTGAAAACATTGCTCGAGGGAGCAGACAGACTCAATGGGCTGTATGGCCATCTCCTGTGCTGTACATTTCTATGGTTCTATGGTTAATTGATTTCTCAGAAAGCAATGTAAGGGAGAATGCTGACAATGTTCTATCAATTACTATAAAAAATGTTCAGTGTATTGTGTACCCATTAATTTATAACCATTCTTTACTTATTGATAAAAAAAGGAAATCCTTTAACTTTTAAACTGTGTTTCAATAGAGGCTCTGGGGAAATGTTAAAGAAACACGATTCAGTAAATATCACTGACATTTTACAGATGAACAAAAGGTTGATATATAAAACCGCAAGGTTAATTACTAAGGTTAATTAGTTAACCAATAAAATAGACTAGCACATATAGCTCCAAGAACTGAATAAACTCCATTTAAAAACTCACTTCAAAATGTTAAGATCATCTTTACACTCAAGAATATCTAAAGAAATTCAGTGCAATAACAGCAAAAAGCAATGTGGAATCTTCTGTAGAATTATTTATGCGTGGGCACTGAGCAAGGGCAGGTTCAGGGTTGGGATCATATTATTGATATTATTGATATGGCCTTTCGAACACTCAAAATGGCTTGCTCAAAATATTGACTTGCAAATGAACAGCAACTTGGATGAAATTTCAGAGACCTACTGTATTTCATATCCAAGAGGGGCGACTCCGATTGGAGAACATTTGGAGGGAAGCCCCACAAATGAGATACTTGTACTATTGATCTGGATACCGTATGCAGTGTTTGAGAATCAATTGTCACCTGAGGCACGATAAATCTGATTGATTCATTATTCAATTCAAAGGTCAATTTGAACGAAGATCATTGGATTCTGTTCAAAATAAGATTTAGATTTACGCAATAATACCCAAAGCTGCTTCTTTCAAATGCTACTCGGCCAGTTTCTTTCTTTTCGAACAACCATAGAAAGACCCAAAGTGTATTAATGCTCAATAGCAAAGCTACATGTCTATTCTGAACCACAATAAAATTTACACTTATGTGAATTTGGAGTCTTATAACAAGTCAGTTGTGATTGGTTGTAGGAAAAGCCAGATTACACAGATTTTGAAGCTAGCATTTCCAGGCTAAATCATTCTTGATGCATTTTAGTTGAATCTCTAAACTGGAATCTAGTCTCCTGTGGAGGGGGGAAAGAAAGAGAGAGATAGAGAAGGTGGGGGAGGAGAGAGGAAAAAATAAAGTAGCATTTGCTCACTTGAATTAACAGTCCAGGTGGTGATGACAGAAATATCCTATTTTTACATGGGAAGGGAGAAAGAAGAGGAAAGGATAGAGAAAATGCAAACAGAAGGCAGAGTTCTGACTCAAGGCACAAAGAACAGGCAACCTCTAATTGCCTAAACTCTCCTGAGTTGACATGCTGAATGTGGAAAATAGCTGATATACAAATGGAAACAATTTTATTTTGACTCTTACAGTAACGTAAACCAAAATAGCATAGCCTTCATAAAGTGAAAGGTAATACAGCGAATCTCGGATTTGGCAATGCTAAACCACACACAATGTAAAGTACACTTACGTTTTTGAGCGCAATCCATTTTTTAACCTTCTGCCAGCATTGATGCAATCCGAAGAATTCTAATGGTAAAGGGAACACAGAATAATCTGGTTAGTGATTTTTGCTCTCAAAATTCAGTGGTACAAGTGAACAAGTGATAGTTTGTATTCCAATTGTGACTATACAGTCCAGTCAACTGAAAGAATTACAGAGGAACTGAACTGGAGAAAAGAGTTTTTGATATTATGGTGCAATACTTATCTGGAAATGTTTATTGTGCATCATTATCAGTAAAAACTGATAGACCACAAATGAAGAAGAATATAGGAGTGTTAATAGAAAACAGTGACAGTAGGTAATAATGTCTGCTTGGATACCAACTTCAAATTACATACAGTAACTCACACTAAAATATTCACAGCTCTTTTTGCAAGTCTATTTCGAAAAAGCTTCCAAAGTGAAATAAAATAAACAGATGCTCACCAGTGAGAATCTGCACAAGTCAGAACTATGCAACAGAACTAAATCTGTAACATCTGCCAGAGCAAAATTATTAAGACAGAGTTTGGAAGCATTTCAGCAACCTCTCCAGGAAAAAATAAAAACAATATTTATAGGGAACTCTGCAAAGAATCATACCTCAACTGGTTTTATTCTGGAAAAGGGAATCAGGATTTCTACAATGATTTTTTTTAGAATTTTAAATTGTGCAACTTTCTATGGGAAAAAGAAACGGCTGCTCTACAAACACCCAGCAATCCAAAACAATAGGATTTGACACAGAGCGTCATGCTTTGATCATGTTTTCGATTTGTCTCAGTTTGCATTCTGGTTGAAGTGTCATTCAGCCAATTCTTTCAGCTATTATGCATGGAAAGACCATGACCAATCATATTCTACTGCAATTCTTACTGCGCGCTTTGAAATTAGTTCGCAAAATCTACACACAAAGTAAGGTCTATGTATAAGCCAAGCAAGCAAAATTCAGAATTTGTCGTTTTTAAAAATAACACAGCAAGCGGATGTGAAGCCCAGCTCACTATTTTTTTTTAAATTGAGAAAAAAAGTTGGAGAACCAAGGCCCATAGTGCTTTCACAAAATGCTGACTTCTACAATATTGCTGAAAAGAACAGGACAAATGATTTTTAGAATGGAGGTGAAGCTGTAAATCAAGTATAATCTCACATTCAACGACTCCACAGTTAAATATTCAGGATGGTGCAATGAAATATGCATAAATCAACATGCTCAATGTATGTTTATTTATTGTGTATTGTGTATGGCATGTGTGATGTCATGCCAATTCCACCACAATAAATGTGCTACATGTTTGTCTTTGTTTAAGATTACAATGCATAATGTAGCATCGATATTCTGAAACTTGGCACTACACGATCTGGAACTGAATGAAGTACAAAAACTCAACGGGATGAGTGGTTTGGCCTACGAGCAGAGACTGGAGGAATTGGGAATTTTTTCCATTGGATCAAAAGTTGAAGGGTAACCTAATAGTTGTCTTTGAAATTATAAAGGGTTTGATAGAGTCAATCTGGAGAAATTTTCACTGGCTAGTGAGTCAGTGACCAGAGGGCATCAATTTAAGATCGTGATCAAAACAAGCAAATGGGGAGATTAGGAAAATCTTTTTCCAGAGTAGTTGGGACGTGGAATGCCCTGCCGGGAAGGGTGGTTGTGTCAGGATTCAGATTAGCTCTTAAAAAAGGACGAGATAAACACCTAAAAAGGAGTCAGACTAACAAACTCCTAAAAAGGAGTATGAAGAAAGCGCAGGAAAATGCACTGAAAGGATTGTTCTGAGAAGAACCAGCACAGACACAATGGGCCAAAAGGCCTTCTTTTGTGCTCTAAACTTCTACGGTTCTAACACAACCAAAGCAACATCTAAATTATAAGTGTGTTTTAGTTGTCTCACTTTATACACGGTGTTTTCAGTTTGTAGAATTGGACAGACCTGTTACGACACTGAAAAATATTACATGCTTTCATGTCATCAGGTCGCTACTCATTACCCTTCTTATGCATGCTTGGCAGTTTGGTGAGCATTCGTAGCTGACCATTGCTGCAAGTGTACTACAAGACATCTGTGTTATAAGCAAAGCAATGTTCTAACAAGGACCTTATAACAGGATCACCCCCAATGTTTCCTACTTCAGAAATATGGTGAAATGTGTGATTGTGGGAGATGCAATTCAAGTCTTAAAATTGTGTTGGAAACATTTTTCGAAACAACAGTATTTTCTATGTTAAAATGATTCACCTTGATGTTGCAATTTTTAAAAAAATAATAAACAGATTTTAATAACAGTTACGTAATTTATTGAATTTTTTTTTAAATTATAAGTGAGATGGAAGGATTATTTACCCAGATTATTTCCTGCACTATCCCAACACGTATTCTGGAGTCATCCCCAAAATTGTTTTACTAAAGGAATGAATATCGTAATCCAGCACAGTGTGCCTCATCTACTCCAACTGACCAGTGAAGAGAGACTAAATAATGTTGAAATTCATAATTCAATTTTCATATATTGAAAAGTCGGCACCAGTGACAAAAAGATTCATGAGGGCAACGGAAGTTATAGTAACATCAAAGGTTGTTTTATTTTATTTGGTGTGGTAATTAATTGTCAGCATTTGAATATGAGAAATAATTGGCATCAACAGATATAACCAGCATTTAAGCCAAATGCTTCATAAATGCAAAATTAAAAAGATTTCCCTGTATTCCATTACTTTGAATAGTTAAGCAATTCTATGATTAGCTGTTGGACAATCAGTGGCATCTCAAGTTGGTCAGTCCACAACAGGATACTGTGCACAGTTTGGGGGCTTCTCAGAATGGTGGGAGTGTAGAGTTCTCTGCCACAGTCAGTTATTAGGGCAGCAACCATGTGCATGTTCAAAAATAGACTGGGCACATGGTTGAGCGAGAATAAAGTTGAGGGATATAGGGAACGGGCCGGAATAGGGAACAAGGGATAGGATCTAGAATGGGCACTCGTGTGAAGTATATTCACCGGCTGGATTGAAAGGGCCAAATGGCCTGTTTCTGGACTGTACTTTCTATGAATCAAACAGCAGTGAAGTTAGTCCCTTGGAACCAGAAACTACACACCAGGAATACCTTTATCCTACAACAACTTGCATGTATAGCACCCTTCATGCGGTGTAGCATCTAGGAGGGCTTCACTGTGGCAAAGTCTGACATTTAGCCAGGGGGAGAGGGAGGTGACCGTAAGCATAATCAAAAAGAAATGTCTTTAGGCGCGTTTTAAAGGGGGGGAAGGAGGGGGCAAGGCGAAGGGATTGAGGGAGCGAGATCCAGAGTGTAGTAGCTGTACCTTTATGCTACATAAGTACCTTTATACTACAAAATGCATCTCAGATCAAACAGATATAAAAAAAAGAACACCTGGAAATAATTACCACACAATGTTCATTATCAAAGCAAGGGACCGTTCCAGGGTGGTTGCGGAATTGAGGTGGTTACTTTAACAGGTTTGACAATTCCCTTTTCCTAAAAAAAACAGTAAGTATTGAACATGCTTTCTCCTCGACTTCCGTTCAATGCGTTTGATAAAGAGAAAGATCACAGTTAGGAAATGGTTTACTGAAAGCACAAGAAGCGAAGAACAAGATATTTAACACTCACCTTGGATGCATCTCTCGACGATGGAAGTAAGTGATTCCAGAAAGGTGCACCTTTGGCATCGGTACTTCTGCAGGATACTGGGATGGAATGAGATAACTGAATCCTACATTTCTTTGCGACAGAGGGACATTCATCCCCTAAGCACATCTCTTTCCCCAATGCATTTGTTGGTGAGAGCAGCTTTCGTTTTACTGTACATCGGCTTGGGATAGTAGCAGTCTGTCCACAGGAGGAGGGTGTTTTCTCAGAAGAGGGCAAACCAGCACTCACTTTAGGTGGCGCCCATTTCTCAGAGGGAGTTTTTGGTGTTGATTTACTTGCAGGTGTACAAGTCTCTCCATCTTCTAACAAGATATCGTCCCGAAGGCCTTTATGTTCCACTACGTGCAAACCACTGTGAGAAAAGTGTTGCGCAGACCCATGTATAACTGGCTCTCCATCATGGAAACAGTTATCTTCCTGATCTGTAAATTCATTTGTTTTTTCCACAACCGGTTCCGGATGATTGCCGTTGTCAGTTCCACAGTGAAAAGCATTTAAGTTTTCAGTCAACATAGAAGGATTTTTACAACGCACATGTATTCGTTTCTGATTAGGCTCAAGGTCTGGATGCTGTTCACTCAGACATCTCTTAATACCCTGTTTGCAGTTTCTCTGCTCCGAACTATTGGAAGTGCTAGATAGGTGTGAAAATATTGAGAGCTGGTACACCTTTTGAAATCTGACCTCCCCCTCACTGTATTCTCCCAAAACACCTCTTTGTGAGACATCATTAGAGTCCACACTGTAGTCACTTGCTGGTGAACCTTGGAGGCTGCCATTGGCATGACCTGAAGCCTGCAGAGGTACGTCCTTAGACTGTTCCTTCTCAGAGCTCTCCAAATGCATGTGCCTCATGGACTGTTGTATTTTACACCACAGAAACGTAGAAATCCAAGAGCAGGGAAAACGGTTGTGCGATTCACAAAGATGAAGAGGTGCCTTCATGAAGTTGAACCAAAGATGCTTTTGTTGACACTCCTGTGGCACAGCATCTGAACAACAAAATAAGGAAGAGTTATAAGGTGCTACTTGACAAGTGGCATTATTTTACTGTTTAGATATTTTTGTCCACACACACAGAAAAGGGCGATCTGTAAAAGCATAAAACGTCTAAAATGTGGTCTGTTATTTCTTCTCTTCCCAAAATAATCCTTGCATTTGATACAACGCCTTATCACTTTGTTGAGACATCTCAAAGGGCTTCACAGAATATGCTGTGAATTGAATTGTGTGTATATTTTGTGGGTGAAGTGAGGCAGCCAATTGCACACAACAGTGTCCCACAAACAGTCACGGAATGAGTAACCAATTTTTAAAAAATTATATAAAAGAGATTACAACCCCCGGAAAGTGATCCACCGAATGACTAACAACCGGGTTCCTACTTACCGCTCGATAAACAGAGGCGTGTAGAGTAAGGAAATTTGCCTAAGGTTTTGCCTTAAGAATCAAGCCCAGGTCCTCTCACTTGCAAAGCAAGTGCTTTAATCGCTACGCTACAGCATTACCATCAGGCTGATGCAGTAAAATGCTCTTCCCATTAAATTTGTTACAAATCAAATACAAAGTCCCTGTCCCCACCCCCGACCCAATCAACCAACATGTTTACTGGTCAGTGTAAAATGCAGTCGTATGGATTTGAAAAATCTCAGATTTGATTCTCAGTCTTTGCTAATAGCTGCTGAGTCAGCTGCATTATCATTAACATTACCTCAGGACTCTGAACTGAGATGGCTAAAACCACAGCATTTAAGATGGAATTGGAAGTTTTCAAGGCAAAAAATAAAAAGTCAAATAGGAATATGCAGGGATATCCAGATATCACTGGGCATTGCCAATGGTCCATTTCCAGAGCTTGTTTCCAATAGTTTCAGGCCATCTCTGGTTTATAATTGATATTCTGGCACTTTATAATCTAAAAATGTAATATTTCCTCTTAATCAAGTTACTCTGCTAACATTCAGAATTAACATAGTATAAATACTTCAATTGCTGTTTATTCCACTTCATTTGCTGCTTCTCAATCACTGTCAGAAAGCACCATTCTGGCAGAAAACTGATGCTGAAAAAATGTTTTTGACAATACCACATGATTACTGTAGAAATTCATGCAATCTGCACCCAATTCACGTTGACTTGACTGGTCCGACAGACTGGAAAAATGCAGTCACAGATCACTACACTGCTCCAGTGAACGTCTTTCAAAGAAGTAGCAGTGAAGCAATTAAAGCAATATAAGTGAGTGTATGTGTGCCTTAACCATCAATATCATCATATCATAAGACGTATGCTTAACATCTTTTATGGAATGTCTGAGTTTGAAGATCATGGATATGCATTCTTTTGAGTATCCTCATTTGTGCCATAGGAGATTGCAGTCCATAATCCTCTAAACTCAGATATTTTCATAAAAGTGCTAAACACACAGCTTAATTCCTGATCGAGCTTAAAAGGCAAGGATATCAGACACACATCTGCGTCTTTTGACATTTTAAAACCTTGAACACATTCCCTCTATCTTTTCTCCAGTGAAAACGAGCTTGTACATTTATATCTGAGTTTTATTCTAAAACTGACCCACAAGTTTCGGCCATCTCTTCCCCCCTCCCCCAATACATTCCAATGGTCAATTACCGTGTGAAAACAGGATGCCAGAAATTAATAACCAGTTCTGACACATCTGCTGAGTCTCATCTCAGCACTCTATGAGCTTTGTTCATAACAGCTCCACAATGACTGATATTTCAAGTGAACAGTCAATTACGCCACCAATCATTTTCAGACAGCACCATAAATGTTACTCAAGATCAAAATGTGCAGACTCTGATTTTGATTTTGACACCTGCTTTTTTCCATTAAGAACTTGCCCCAAGTCTGACTCAATACAAGACTGAGATGAGCAAATCTTCCAGTAATATCTCGAGTGATGTTTCACAAATCCATCTTTTAATAGAACAGTTACTTAAGGCTAGCTTGAGTAACACTACAAGAAAAACACATTTGTCCATTGTTCATACCAAACTAGCAAATAGCAAAAATAATCAAGAAAGAAAGCAGAATACTATGAATGTGGTATAATCAACCAATAGATACCACTCCAATGAATGCAATATGGCACTCCACTGAATATTGTTCAGAAAGATAAACGTAATAAAAACATACATTTGACATAGCACCTTTCACATCAGGATGACGTCTCAAAGTGCTTCACCGCATTTACTGCAAGGTAGAGTGACTTTTTTGGGGGTCCAACATACAATGCTATCACACCAACTTCAAAACATCAGACTTTTACATTCTGTCCACAATTGGCTGCCGCGTATCAATTCACTTTCAAACAGTGTGTTCTGTGAAGCGCTTTGGGACGTCCATTCCCGACGTGAAAAGCGCTATATCAAATGCAAGGATTATTATTATTATTATTATATCAGATTTACTCTCACCAATCTTCAACTGTCATTCCTTAGCAAACATTAAGTTGAATGCTATTAACTTCTCTCACAAGAACAACCTGGTTTTAAACAAAAACAGAGAGAGCTGGGAAACTCAGCAGGTCAGGCAGCAACTATGGAGAAAGGAAAGTGAGTCAAAGTTTTGGGTCCACGACCCTTCGAAACGGGTCATGGACCTGAAACGTTGACTCATTTCCTTTCTCCATAGATGCTGCCTGACCTGCTAAGTTTTCCCAGCTCTCTCTGTTTTTGTTTCAGATTTCAGCATCTGCAGTATTTTATGTTTTGAACCTGGTTTTAAAGCTTTATGTGATTAGTAAATAATTTGTATCAACAAACCTACTCCTTGCATTTAAGAATAATGTAAACAGTCGATGAACTTCCATATTTATAATCTATTATTCTATTTTCCAGATAAAGGTTTACCACACTTGAAAATCGTTTTAAAAAGAATACAGTAAACATTTAAGATAGGTCAGACATTTCTAATATTCGGTTTCTTACTGAAAATGGAGTGTACTAATATCCCTAAATAATAATAATCCTTGCATTTGATATAGAGCCTCATCACGTTGTTGAGCTGTCTCAAAAGCGCTTCACAAAATACACTGCAAAGTGGATTGACTGTATTTTGTGGGTGAAACCCTAACCCTAAATCAAGAGAATAAAGACATGAAGTAAGTAGAACAAAATGAAAAACACCCAATTCTAATAGTAACAAAATTTGAAAGCTTGAAGTTAAGCATTTCACGTACTGTTGAATGGTACGTGTGGGAAACATTAAGGATTTGGACTCAGAGGCCTGATGCTCAGCAATAAGTAAAGCAATGGCCATGTCCGGGTCTATTTGACGTTCATTCTGTCAACATTCCAAATTGGAATTCCCTTTAAAGTGAGAATATCGATTTAGTGATAAAACTTAGGAAGTAATCATCAAAAATACACCACACACCTACTACCATTTATCAAGCCTGAGAAGGGAGAAAATACCCAACACGTTTTTGCTTTCTCACGTTCTGGGATTCCCCAGCTGAGTGTCGAGACAGATAACCTGTTACAAACGCTTAGTGTCTTTCAGTGAGAAGATGCCAAGAAGTACAGAAAGGTGAATCAGTTTTAGTTACCCTCCTCCTCGCTCAATATCATTTGCACCGCATCTCCTTCTTCTGTAACTTGGAAACAAAGAGAGCGCGTGATACACTCTTGTTGTACCACAGTACGGAGGTCTTCTTAAGACAACAGAGATTAACAAACTCAAGTTTCAAACAGCAAAATACAAAGTTGTCTACGGAAGAGATTACTCTGAATAAGGAAACAAAAGCACAGAAGGTTAGACATCCCATTATAACCAAGAGCTAGCCTAGATAATATACTAATTTGTAATAGGGTCTGGACTGCACTACAGAATAGTAATAGAAAGGTTCAGATGATATTAAAAAAAAGTTAAGTTTGACAGTCTTGGCACCATTTCCTGAAATGCACGCTGGAGATTGGTGGAATACACAAATCCGAGAAATTTCTTTTTACCCTCCAACTCCACTCTGCCACCACATTGCTGGCATGGGTGCCAGGAGCCAGTAAGCAGCCAAACACTCATCTAAGGAATATTATCAGCTTCTAAATAAAGCTACTGTGCAAAAAGCTTAGATATATTCACATGCTGCTAATAGCAAAGCTCTGCTCAACCCCACAATGATGCCATAGTTGCGTGCACAAAACTATTTTTTCTATTTTCAAAGTTCAGAATGGACTGTATTCTCAACATTCGTATACTTAAGTCATTATTTTCTACTGACGAGCTAAAAGTCATGTCGCTCTTGAGAAACCATCTTGAATACTTTTTAATGTTGTCATAGCAGCAAAAATTACAGCTATATTGATGTTAGCTTTTACAACGTTTAAATGTCAACCCTTTCATTTGAAAAATAAATATGTAGCATAACTCCTCTGACTTCATTTCCAATTGTCCTTTGCTGCATTGGTCACTGGTTGATGATAGGATTCCATAAGTAGAACCACCAACATTGCATTTACTGACTCCCGGCATAAAGATATTTGCTAATTATAAGCTTGGTTCCAAATAGAATTCATTTACTATTTCTGGTTATTCGTTCCAAAGCAAAAGTTCTTTCTTTTAAAGAAAACTTCCTATCAAACTAATTTCTTCTCTTCCTCTCCAAACAAAATTAGAAATCCATGTCACAACTGCGCAAACTACAAATGACCACGATCCAGTTGTTTGACATGATCAAAGGGAAAGAAGGCCTTTACTGTAGCCGTGAAAGGGAAAGAAGGGTTTTGGGCATGTCAGAACCCAAGTACACTGGAGTCCTGCAGCTCAGTGGTTACAGCACTCCCCCTCGCAAGTGAGATACCTGGATTCTATTCCCGGCAGGGCAAAATGTTGGGCAAGTTTCTTTGTTCTACAAGCCTCCATTTACCTCACAGTAAATAGGAATCCAGTTGTTAGTCGATTGGCGGATCGATTTTCTGGGGATAATAATCCCTCAAAAAAAGATGTGATCACTCAATCCATGACT